AAAGTAAAGAGTACTACGAAAAAATGATTCGATGTTTTTGAGGATTTCTTTTGTCAGATATTGGATTTTCTACCAAATAACCATGTCGTAGTTTTTTCTATAACGCCCCGACGTTAAAAGTTACCGATCATCTCTAACAAAAAAAAATATAATTGTCTGGTCTCGATGCAAAACAATATCGTCTGATCAGACTACGATTAAAACGGAATTAATAGGAATAACAAGACAACATAAATCGTACTAAAAAAATGTCATTCACGAAATGACAAAAACAGAAAAAATACTAACAGTATTACGTTGGACACCTTATCTACTAAAGATTGAGTTAACAGGTTCATTGCGTAAGGCGCGGATCTGCATCCAGTTCGTTCATTCCTCGGTGCTAACGTCGCGGATCCGCGCTTTAAACATGACTTCTATTTTATAGTATGATATTTTATTAGCACGAAAGTTGTACGTTTATTTGCTACATCAGCATCTAAGAGTAGCATCAGGTAACGGAAGTTACGTCACAGTTGTCATTTTTGTTGTTTCCCTTTTTTCTGAAACGTAGATATTTGACGATTGCAATGATCTAGAACACAGAGCCAGCTTGTTCTCAGCCAAAACGTAAAAAAATATCCGTAAAAAACCCTAAAAAGTTAACAAAAGAAGAACTTGAATACTTTTTAACACAATCAGATAGTGAAGACGAATATATTTCAAACGTTAGTGAACATACGGTAATACTTTCAATGTGATATGATCCCTTAGTTTAAATATTTTTAAATCTACAGATTAGTATAACCTATATTTATGAATTTTATTTTGTTCTAAATGAAAACTATCAGAAATATTAGGTAATTTAATTTTTACTCTCTATATAGTCTCTAAATAAAATTGTAGTATTGCGGTTCGCACTAGTTTTAAATTATATATTTCTCGCTCTTGCAACGACATATCCGCATCATGTTTCATACTTCCGAAGTCTAAAACGAGCAAATCCTATCGTCAATCATCTAAAGAATAATTTCAAGACACGGTATTGTGCAAATTAATGTGAATACAAGTCATAATTTCAAATGCATCACTTATTTGAGAAATCCCATAAGTAAGTCACAAAACTAAAACTTTCGGAAAACAAGAAAAAACAGAAAATATGAGTAGAGACCGTTTTTTGTTAATTCTTCGGTATCTGCACTTTGCCATAAATCTATCTGCACTTTGTCATAAATCTCTGTAGGAGAAGTTATAGAGGACAAACTGTACAAAATTAAAGCTGAATCAGTAGTTTCAGAATGTATATTAAAAATAAGAGCCATAAATTTTGTATAAAAATGTATTTACTTACTGAACCTATGGGATTAGTTCAAAATATGAAAGTTTATGCTGGTAAATTTGATACTACCGCCGGAACAGACCATTCAAAAAAAGTTATCGTGGTATTGGTGCACAAACATCTAAATGCAGGTAACTCGTTGTTTATGGACAATTTTTACATGAGTATGGACCTTGCCGAAACACTTATGAAGAACAAAACATATTGTACAGGAACTCTTCTGGGAAGAAGACCAGGAAATCCAGTAGAATGACTAAAGCCAAGTTTAAAAAAGGCGAGTCAGTAGCAAAATATAAAAACGGCGTTGTTGTTGGCAAATGGGTCGAATTTGAAGTAATATATCTATATCCACTGAGTTCAGCAATGTTTTGGTAGAATCTGAGAACAAACGAAAACAAAAAAAAACTAAAACCTCTTCCAATCGCCGAATATAATAAAAATATGAGTGGTGTTGATCGCAAAGATGAAATGTTATCATACTATCCTTGCGAAACAAAAACCTTTCGGTACAAAAAATTGGGTATACATGTACCACAAGTGATTTTAGTAAACTCTTATTTTTTATTTAACAAATATTCTAGAACAAAACTGTCTCGTTATGACTATCGACTAAAAATTATAAGAAATTTACTACGCTCTCCTCAGAAAAATGATCTTAAAACACTGAATAACTTGTCTGAACGGCATATTTTGAGCAAAATAGCTGAGAAAAATACAAAAGTAGAAACGAAACGTAAAAAATGCGGGGTGTGCACAGTGAATAAAAAAAGAAAAGATACGATTTATGAATGTCTTATTTGTACTGACAAATCTGGTCTTCGCCTAGGCGCATGCTTCGTATACCATGACGACCGAAAATAACTATAGTTTTTGTATTTTGTGTACTATTTCTTAATAACGTTCAAGTTGCTCTTATGATTTTATTTTTAGTGTATGTTTTGTTACTTTTTAAAGAAAACAATTTTTTTTAGCCTTTGGTGGTGTGTTTTTTTTAATCATTTAAAGTGTGGTGCTAACGGCGTGGATCTGCGTCCTTTTGACATTTGCTCTCAAATGTGGCATATATAATGTCTAAAACATCATATAAAATACCAACAATTAACTCTTATCAGTGTTTGTTGAAACAACGTTCCTAGCACCTGGCATGTTCCTATTAGATTACGTACGCAGTGATCCTGTTAATATGGGCTCAGGTTAAAGGTGAAGTAGCCAGACAAAATACAACCTTTTAAATTGAAGGATGTCAAACAACTTTTAAAAAAACGCAACGAATGATAACTAATCAATGCCGTAAAGCACCTAAAAAAGAGGAAGAAATATTGTGGACTGTTGATAATAACATGGCAGAACTTTGTTACTCTATAATCATTCCAATCGGGCTAGACAACGAATCTGACCAAGTAAAAGAGGAAGAGATGGAAATCCATAATTTATAAGTACCTAGGTAAATCAGTCTGTCCCTTTTTGAGTCTCTAACACTGACTCATGATCTTCCCAGTTTGACCACTCTACCTACAGATTGCAGATTAGTGAAGATTTGCATTTGTAATAAGTTGCTAATTACAAACAGATAGAAGAGTATTATAGTAAATATTCACACTTTCTTGCATAATATTGATTCCGCACGATTTTATGTTGAGTCCTTTGATAATTGTTTGCAGTCACTCTACTTAAAATTCTACTAAAGCATTAAACATAAGCAAGCGCTTCAACAAATAAAAAGGCAAAGGAACTTAAATGAATGATTGATTGGATATCGATGAGCAGACTTCAACAATTTGGGGTGACAGAAAAATAAAATTTAAAAAGACTATAACAAACATGTTAAAAGGAAATATGACAAAAAAATTCACAAGAAGTTATATGTTACGGGAATTTATAAAAATTTAGGTTAATAGAATAAAAGAGATAAAATCTGGAAAAGAATTACGCAGAGAAATAAATCTTGCAGGAAATACTTTTATAGCAGCATCCAAAACATGAATATTTCACCTATAAAATACCTACTTATGTCTGTAGTTCATTTATGTTTTTTTTTTGTATAGATAAGTTGGTACAGAATCATTTAATTCCGTATTTATAAAGTTTTTAGAATCCCAGAGATTTCATTCAGTCTTCTAATTTTTCAAGTATATTCAATGAACTAACTTATTGTTTCGAGAACTCGACCACGTGAGTAAGACAATTCAAATAAATGTATTGTGCATGTTATCAAAGAAGTGAAAAATTGACAATGTACCGATTTTTGAACACGTTAGTGTTAATCCAGAGATTGTTCTCCTATACTTTGTTTCACAACAATGAAAAACCCTTTTAATATATTTGTTAGGAGATATAATTATGTGTATTAAAGAAACTCGTTAATCTATTGGTTAAAATTTACTATAAAAATATAAAATTGGTTTCAATAGATTGACGACAAAATTCGAGGGATACCAGTGGAAAGAACAATCTGGTTTTAGAAAGGGATTCAGCACAAGTGACCATTTACTAAGTATGAAAATACTTATAGAACGAGCACATGAATAGCACATTCCTCTATATATGGCGTTCATAGATTTCGAAAAGGCTTTCGACAGTGTCGACCGTTGGGCAGTGAAAAGTTCTTTGATTAACAGCAGAATTGACCACAGATATACGGAACTATATCTGTGGTCAATTCCTATTTTCCTGGTGGAAATTTCCTATTTTCATTTAATAGTTCACAAGTCACTTGCCCATGTAAATATCAACATGTTACACATAAAACTTACAAGATCTATCAGTAAAGAGTAAAGAAGTAAGAATTGAGAAGATATTGTTCAGATCAAGTGGTAAAACCTCACTGAAAACTTACTACTCGCCACAGGTAAATACTATCGGAAAACAAGAAAAAAAGTACAAGTAAAACAAAATATAAACAATAAAGTATACAAACATAAAAAAACACGAACGCCGTTTTAGTAAACAAGGAAAAGAACACGCCTTTCAAACATTCATAATATTTTCTATCGGTACTTAAAAGTTTTTGTGAATTGACCTGATAAGGCAGCACTTAAATGTGATTTAATCAAAATACTTTCTTACACTTGGCCCGTTTTTAACAAAATTATACTACAATACAAATTATTACTGCACTGTTACCGAAATAAATTTTGAGATGATCATGACCTATCTCAACAATCTGTTTACTATTACTCATTCTCTGTAATGAAGATCGATATTACATTGTTAAACAAAACATAGTTTAAATACTTATGAATTAAAGAAATATATCAGTGATTATTTTAGCCCCTATCACTCTCAAACAACACAATAGAAAGCTGTATTTGAAGCTTCTTACATCGATTAAGGAGTAAAAGTTAGGTTAGGTAATATCTTTTTTGCAGTCAATACCACACACTAGTTGAAATCTTAAATTATATAGGTACTGTATTCCTTTATATTTGGACGAAAGTCTGTTTGTTAGGTACTGAAAAACAATTTAAATGATATTAAAAAGCTAAATGTTATAAACGATAACAAGTGTATACATTACAGATAGATAACATTGTACTTTTTTCCGGGAATTAACCAAATTAATTGTTGGAATGTATGTAATAAATAGTTCATGAATGATTCACTGAAAATAAATAGAAGCAGAAATAACACTGGTTTTTTGCAACTAAAAATGTATTAAATAACAAATAGATAAACAACTCACCTATTTTTGAATGTTTATACCTAAAAGTCAACGAAAAATGCACAAAATTGTTCAAATCACAGGCTTCAGTTCACATATAAAATATAATCACTGCTTTTATAAATGCACCCGGCAATTGCAAAATGTGATAACTGAAAAAGTTTTTAAAACGAAGAGGTAAGTACGTTCACTCAAAATTAACCATAAAATAAAGTAGTCCTTGCTATAAATTGATGTTTTATATCACTGTCTTGAACACATTGTTTTAATTTTAAATTAAGATAGGCGTGCCTCAGTTTACGTACAAAATCGGTCAAAACGTCTATGAATATGACAGCTCACTCGATTCAATATCTAGGGTTTCGTTCTTTTGGACGAATCGGGAGAAGCAGTTATATATACACAGTCGTGTTTTGACGGAGAAAGCCGAGCGTCAATGACTGAACTACAGCCTCATGTCTGAATGAAACATTGCGGCCTGCGGCTGAAATTCTGTACATCGTTGCCGATTTGTCCCGAGGAATTTTTGAAACGACGTTGGATTTAATTGTTTTTTTATGGAAGTTTTACAAAAAATTTCCATTTTACGTTATTTACATAGTTAAAATTTATTAAGTAAACCAAGTAATTAAATATTCTTTTGTTTTGGAAAATCTGTTTTTTTTTATTCTTAGTGTCAACAGTTTCCACAGTTTTAAACTATAACGAAAAATAGGTATCATTTGTCGGTACTTATTTAAAGCATATAGTATACAATAGCATATTTTATAATATGTATGGAATGACCCTTATCATCATTATCATGCAACCTCTTCTGTCGACTGCTGGACATAGGTCTCTACCATTTTTCGCCACCCTTTACGGTTCTGTGGGTTTTGTTGCCATTTCTTGGATATTCGTTTAATCTCGTCCATCCAGTGTGTTGGTGGTCGTCCTCTGCTGCGTTTGTCTTCTTTTGGAGGCTAGTCAATTAGTTTTCTGGTCCATCTTGAGTCTTTTAGTCTCGCTATGTGACTTGCCCAATTCCATTTTAGCTTGGCTATACGTTCGACGATATCAGTGATACCTGTTCTTTTCCTTAGGCCTTGGTTCCTTCCCTCATGGAAACAACCCAACTTCCCACAAATACGAAAAGCTGTAGCAATACTTTTATTATACGACTTACTCTTACTTGGTTTTTATTTTACAATGTATTGTCGATGTATCCGTTGGCTAGTAATATAGATTTTCATTCATGAGTTAAGTTATATCCTCACCGCTACCGACAAGAATAGTTGAAGAACATTTGAAGTTCTAAGTAGGTAAATGCAATTCTGTTTAAACATGTTTCAAAATTTAAGTACTCATTCCAATTTCCATTCTATACACTTTACATTTTCATTTTCTTTTTGCATTTCCTTTCTGAGTTCAGAAAAAAGATTCAAGCTTGGTTAACATTTGTTCATTTTGTAACAATTTCATAATAAATCCCTACAATATGGTACTTCTTCTTCTTCTTCAGCCTTAAGTTATAAAATTTTGGACATAGGCCTCCCCCAAATCAATCCAGTGTCTTCTATTTCAGATATTCTTAATATCATCCGCCCATCTCATTTGTGGTCTTCTTCTGCTTCTCTTTCCTAACCATGGTCTCCATTGTTGTATTCCGTGGTTCCAGTTCAGTCGGACATTGTGTCCTGCGAAGTTCCATTTTAATTTGGCAGCATGTTCTCCTGCGTCTTTTACTTTGGTTTTGCTTCTAATCCATTTGCTTGTTTTTTGTCTCTACGTCTCACTCCGAGCATTGATCTTTCCATCGCTCTTTGTGCTTTTACTATTTTATCCATGTTAGACTCGGTGAGTGTCCACGTCTGTGAGCCATACGTGAGAAGGGGGAGAATACACTGATCGTAAATTCTGGTTTTCAAATATTGTTTTATTTTAGTGCTTTTCAAGATCCAACTTAGTTTTCCAAATCCTGCCCACGCTAATTTTATTCTCCTGGTAATTTCGGCAGTTTGATTTTCTTTGTTAACTTTCATTATCTGTACCATGTAGATGTATTCGCTTACTATTTCTAAATTTATATCGTTCAACGTTATTTTTGTAATGATCGGTGTATTTGTCATTATTTTTGTTTTTTTCAAGTTTATCTTAAGACCTACTTTTTCCGAAGCTTGAGATAGTTGCGTCATCATGGTCTGTAGCTCTTCGAAACTTGTAGTGAATATTACAATGTCATCAGCGTATCTTCAATAACTCAGTTCTCTTCCATTAACATTTATTCCTTTATGTGTACAGTTAATGTATTTGAATACGCCTTCAAGTCCAAGTGTGAATAGCTTTGGTGAGATAACATCTCCCTGGCGAACTCCTCCTTTGATTGGTATAGCTTTGGTTTTCGCATATATTTGTATTTTCATTGAAGCTTTTTTATAAATATTATGTATGAGCAATCTGTATCGGAAGTCTATCCTGCAGTTCATAGCTCTCTCTATTGCCCAAAGTTCTATGGAGTCAAATGCCTTTTCATAATCAACGAAGCGAATGTATAAGTTCAAGTGATATCCATTGGCTTTCTCTATTAGAGTTCTGACTGTAAGAAGATAATCCGCTGTACTGTACTGTGAAATTTAAATTATGCTCTCGTTAAATTTGCGTCTACACTATTAACTGGATATTCTTCAGGTTCATCTTTACAATCGCTGATATACCTCCGGAGTCTTCATCTTAGTGTGAATCTGTGGCTTTACAAACACCCTTTTCTAAATATCCATCAATGTCTTAAGCAATCGAAGGAAGACTAATATATCTGTCGCTTCTGATAACAAGCTTTCTTTGGTAGTTTGCCTATTGGTAATAATGCTGCTGCAAATATACGGGTCCATCAGTAATCGACGGACTTCAGTGGGTATATTGTACCAGGGTATAGTTGAATAAAGTATGTGTCTGTCTGTTTTTATAGTACCTATACTTCCGAAATTTTTCTATATGAATTTCTTTACCAACCGAAATTGTTGGTGGTATAATATGAAAACGATGGATCAGTTCTTCGTCGATTTCGGTTATTCAAGCATATGTTCTCAAAAAAACGTTGAGCTGTGTTTCCATCAATATTACTGCCAAAACCGGGTTTTGGTTTGCCTATGCGGAGTCCAATTCTTTTTTGAAATCATCGTGGATCATAAGCTTTCTTTTTTGTTTCACAACTTCTTCGGCTTTGTATTCTTGCTATTTTTATGTGCCACTTGGATAGAATTAAAAGAGCAAATTATCTTCCAATAGGAACCGAGATGACGAACATCGCATTAGAAGATAATTATGCCTTGTGACCGGAGCAGAAACTTGGAGAATAACAAAAGAAAGCTGTAGGCAGTCGAAATGGACGACATTAGGAGGTCAATTATAGTATCCCGCAGAGAGAGAATTCCCAACGATGAGATAAGACGACAAATGGGAACCGAAAATTTAATGACGACATATGTGGAGACCAAAAAGGCAAATTTGGTACGGACCTGCCCAGAGGATGGAAAATACAAGACTCCCAAAAATATTATACTTACTTACTAGCCAACGCCCACCCTTGGCATGTTAGCCATTTGGTGGCGCGCTGACCAGTATAGACAAGCCGTTTCTCGTAGGCGATCTTCATCCTCCTCGGGTGGGTCTGTTTTCAGGGCTGGGCACTCTGGAAGGTGAGCAGCATCCATTTGGGGCTGATCACATAGTGGACAGTTGTCATTTTCGCGGACGCCGATGCGATGTAGATGGGAGGCCAGTTAGTCATGCCCTGTAGTTGTTCTGAACACGGCTACACTAATGGGTCTCGGCAAGTTGCGAGGGATTGGTGACTCTATTAGGTGGACCCAAGATTTTCCAGCACCGGCTTGTATTTGCTGCTCTTTTATCTTCGCTTTGATTCCTCTTCTAATGGTGGACTTTGCTGATGTGTACGATTGGAAGCTAGGGGGCTGTGGAAGAGTAGTGCCTTCTTTTTCAAGTTCATCCGCCATTTCATTTCCTTCAACACCGACATGACTAGGGATCCATTGTAGAGTAATCAGACACCCTTTTCCATCAAGTTCGATAGTTGGACGCGGCAAGATTATTGTTTTGGCACAGTCGGTGTATCGATTTGTCGACAGAGCGAGGATTGCGGCTTGGCAGTCGATGAAGAAGGTAACTTTTTGGGGTGTTGGAAATTCTCAAGATTTTTTGCAGCTTCGTGTATAGCAGCAATTTCGCCCTCGTAGTTAGTGAGAGGGACACCCACAGCTATAGAGCCTTTGAAGAACGTTGAGACATATCCTGCTCCTGTTCTTCCTGAGTCCGGCATCGAGGATCCATCGCAGTAGATGTGGAGCCACTCATGTGCTGGGTACTTGGTGTGTATCGCCTCTAGGGCGGCTTTCCTTAGGGCAATGTCTGACGATTTCCTTCAACACCGACATGACTAGGGATCTATTGTAGAGTAATCAGACACCCTTTTCCATCAAGTTCGATAGTTGGACGCGGCAAGATTATTGTTTTGGCACAGTCGGTGTATCGATTTGTCGACAGAGCGAGGATTGCGGCTTGGCAGTCGATGAAGAAGGTAACTTTTTGGGGGTGTTGGAAATTCTCAAGATTTTTTGCAGCTTCGTGTAAAGCAGCAATTTCGCCCTCGTAGTTAGTGAGAGGGACACCCACAGCTATAGAGCCTTTGAAGAACGTTGAGACATATCCTGCTCCTGTTCTTCCTGAGTCCGGCATCGAGGATCCATCGCAGTAGATGTGGAGCCACTCATGTGCTGGGTACTTGGTGTGTATCGCCTCTAGGGCGGCTTTCCTTAGGGCAATGTCTGACGATAAGTGCTTCGGGTCGTTATGGTTTTCAAGCAGTAATTCTGTGTTTGGTAGACAGCGGGCCAGTGTGGTTTGCGCTGGGAAGGGGCGGCTTCCGACAGGACAATGTGGTATTTTTCCATGATTTGGTTTGATACTGTAAGCGGAGTGGTTAAGACGTGAGGCTGCTTGTCTATATTCGTCCCATTTTTGTGAAAGTATTCGTCTTTGTCTTTTCCAGAAGGTTAACGCGTGTTGCTCTCTGCGGCATTGTATTGGTTCAATACCGGTCTGGGCTTCCATTGATGTAATCGGTGTTGATTTTGGAGCACAGGTGATGACGCGAAGGGCAGTGTTCTGGGTGACTTCAAGCTTGGAGGTGGTGTTTGCACTCGCAGTTATTGTAGCTTCACTCCCATATTCTAATATCGGCCGGACATAGGTTTTGTATGTTGCTACCAGGACATCTTGCGTGGCGCCCCACTTTGTTGCTGTGAGACGTTTGAGCAGTCGACATCTCTTTGTGGCTTTCTCTGCAGTGTCGTCGATTTGAGGTTTCCAC